GGTAATTACAAGACAGTTTGTAGCAGAACCTCGGACAAAAGATTTAAGTTGATCTTTTTTGCAGATAACCTTTAATATGAAAAATGTTCTCACAATTTTTTTACTTTTTTTTTTTAATTAAGTTAAATGAACAGTGTGGCTCATTAGTATGAGAGGATCATGATATCAAAACTGCCAGAAGTAGCTGTCCCCAGGACGGAGTCAGTGTCTTTATTTTGCTACATATGTTTATTATTTTTATAATAATAGTGAATTAATGTGGTAACTCCACACATACAAGTGTTCCCTCCCTATTGAACCTGCTCTCTATAAGCTTTAGCCCTCCACTCTATTACACCCTCCCCTATACTACAACCTCCACTCTATTACACACTCCCCTATACTACAACCTCCACTCTATTACACCCTACCCTATACTACAGCCTCCCCGATACTACCCCCTTCCCTATACTACGGCCCCCCCTATCCTACAGCCTCCCCTATACCACCCCCTCCACTATATTACCCCCTCCCCTATCCTACACCCTCCACTATATTACACCCTCCCCCATACTACACCCTCCCCCCTCCCCTATACTACAGCCTCCCCTATACTACAGCCTCCCCTATACTACACCCTCCACTATATTACACCCTCCCCTATATTACACCCTCCCCTATACTACAGCCTCCCCCCTCACCTATACTACAGCCTCCACTAGACTACAGCCTCCCCTATACTTCAGCCTCCCCTATACTACACCCTCCCCTATACTACACCCTCCCCTATATTACACCCTCCACCATCCGAGTAATTAGTGACATAGACCTGATGTTGATAGGGTCATTAACCTTTGACCTCCACACTGACAAGTTTATGATTATACATCAGTTCATGGGCTCCATCTTGTTTTATTACTCAGCACTGACTTTTCCTGTTGCTGACTTGAGAGGATGGTACTTGTAATAATTAATCAGACCTCCAAAGGTGTGCTACTTTATGCTATCCTTACCTGTATCAGGTCATTAAAGAGACCACCTGATGTGTACTTCCGAGTTCGTGCTCACCTGTACTGTAACATCACAATCTATATCTGATACTGACTTACACCTTTAACCAGAGACGTATATATTACATATTACATATACCTCTCTGCTATAACTCCTTTGATAACTAATTAATAAATGATTAATTTCATGCTAATTGCCCAAAACACCTGTAATTAATTTGTGATAAATGATTTTATTACACAGGGAAGGTGCTGATAAGGGTCTATACATGTCGTAGATTTATGACCCCATTGACATGAAAGGTATAAAAGGGGACACAGAACCCATCTTTATTGATGTTATAGAATCTGGCCTTTCTAATGAGACCAATGCACTGTCCATCCCACACTGATGACCGCAGTGAGTGACCAAGGGAAGGGCCCTTAATAGGGTCACATTTCAATGTTGGACCCCTGTGACTTCCTGTCTGATACCTACCTGCCTACCAAGGTTGCATACAGCTATGAACATCTACCTGTATCCTACCTACCCAAAGCCTGGTTAGCTTCACCTAATATTAACACAAAATCTCAATTTCACCTGTACCCTTATAATTAAGGAATGTTGCAGAAATATTCTTACCAAAAATAAGCAAATTATGCAAATCAAATCAAATCAAATTTGGAAATAAACTAGTGTTAGATTAAACGAATTTATGCATGATAGTTTTGGGGGTTGGTGAGGTATACTGGCTACTAGAACGGAGTGATGCCCTGTCCTGGTGATAGATCTGATCTATAAGTCAACAGGAGGTGTATGGCCTAACTATTGACATAATAGTGGTTATCATGGTCAGCTATCACAACTTGTCACCTGGGCAGGTATATACCTATCCTATTACGCCCCTCCGTAGACAACATCATCGCTGTAATGGAAATATTGCTTGCAAGTTCGCCGGATGTTATACCATTTCTTTACTCTCATTCCCCTGGACTAGTGCCACCGTTGAGAAATCTATAGAATGTTTTAGAAGGATTGAGCTATATTTTTGCCCGTCATTGAACTGTGGAATCTCCTCAAAACCTCCCCTAACGGCCGCGGAGGTATACATAAAATGTGTCACTATGAGTGAAATGTGTGGCGCTGTAGATTATGGGTGAAGCTACAATTCTTGTCAAGACCAAACCATCGCACCGTCATTTATAACCTATATCAAAGTATTACAAGTAAATCAGAGACACATATCCTAGAATTATCTCCCTTCCCTCCAGCTGATTTTGCCCTTTTCCTTCTGTGTATCAATGTTTTGAGAGTAATTTTTTGTCCCTACTCAGTAGCCCGCGACTTTGTCAAGACCTGACTGATGCTACTGCATCTTAGAAAATTTGTAAAATAATAGAAAGTGCCGGGACATCTTCCCTTGTCCATGTTTGTCCCCTATTTCCTTCTGTTCTTCCATTTCACCTGCTAGTTAACTCATTCACCCCTGATATTTCATGATGAACTATTCCAAGCTTTGAATCAGAAGATTTCAAATGTGCCTTCAGGGGTGAATGAGTTAATTTCTGTCCCGTGTATCTGGATCCCTTTGTAAACACCAGTGATTGGTCTACTACACCAATGACACCAGACCATTAACTCATTTTCCCCTAAAGACACATTTGAACTCATCCGATTCGAAGGTTGGAATAGTTCATTACGAAATTTCAGGGGTGAATGAGTTAACTCTATTACTTTGCTGTCATACATTGTTCTATCCATAGTTCACAGATAGAAACAATTCAAATACATCCTGTTTCTGTTGCGGCCACCGTTTTTTCTATCATCAGGATCCTGTAAGAGCTTGAATGTTATTGTGAATGGAAGCCATTACCATTAATGATTGGCATTGGATAACACCACCAGGGGGCAGCAGTAAACCTATCAGGGGCCAGCGTGTTTCCCAGGGGCTAAGTGATTAGGTCTAATTTGACCCGATTACAAAGAATAATTAAGTACAACAATTAGTCCCTAACTGTCCAGCACCAGCCCTGGAGATCTGGGACCCACCTGCTTGCTACAATCAATCTGTCCATCACAATACCTGTATACAACGGAGACATGTGGTCTGCAATCACTTGTCCATTCACAATCATAATACCTGCGTAAGACATAATGACCACAAATCATGCATTATCTCCACGCTTGATTGCCCGCGCGACTTTGTGTTTTGTTGACCCCAGCTTGGAACCAATATCAGCGAGGGAAGAGAAAGCAACCAACATCAGCCTGTCAGCCTCACAATGCATGATAAATGGTACCAGCCACAGTTAAAACATAGTGAATTAAACGTGCTTCCACATTCGCCCATATCATGACATCTCGTTAACAACCATTGTTCTCGGTTAATACTTCTACATTTATTTTTGCCATCACGAGAAGCTACTGATCCAGGTCGTGACTCCAACAAACCCGCTTCCATAGACATGTACATCTATAAATACAGGGTTTCTCTCAGTTATAATGGGAATCTGCAGTCACAGGCCTTATTAACACATAGATGTGTACAAAATAAAACAGTCTCTTTTCTTGATACTCGAAATACACATGTAAGTAATAAAAGTTTATGATAGGCATTTGGTTTGTATTAGCATATCAACATGCCTGAATGCACATGTTTTATCCACAAATATTTCCTATATATGTATTTTGACAATTATTGTCAAACACATAGCCTACAGCATGTCAGGTGGCTGCTTACCGCAGTAGGGAGGCTAATGTCAACCATGATGATTAAGACCAATTTTTAACTTTATCTTTTTACATTCAAACAACAATGTTTATGTTGTTCTTCCCCTTCACTTGATAAAATATCTGATCTGTATATTTTATTAACCATCAAACATTTACATTCCAATGTTTTAAATCCCACTTACTGAACTTTGATACAACCTGAACATTTCCTGCTGCAATCTTCGTCAATTAAAACCAGATTTTATTAGCCAAGAATTAAATCTTTAAATGTCACGAGGAAATAAATTTCATGCAAATATGTTCATCTATCTGATCACATCAGGTTCAAAGCAATATAATAAGTTTGTATGGACTTTATAAGATATATAAATAAAATCACAATATGACCTGAGTTTGTAGGACAAGCAGAAAGACTTGATGGGCTCTGTATATGGGTGTGGTGCACACCAAATGGTAATAAACTCATTTATTCTCAGATATTGATCTTAACAAATTCTTAGTCAATAAATGACAATTAAACATGTAATTTGAATTTGAATTGATAAAATAAGATTGTAAAATATGATGCACATTAACTCATTCATCCCTGAAATTTCGTAATGAACTATTCCGACCTTTGAATTGGAAGAGTTCAATTGTGTCTTCGGGGGTGAATGAGTTAATATATTTCAGGTTTTCTAGAATTAATTATGAACACTCCATCATTCAAGGGAAGTAATTATGCTTTTTGAATTGCTTAATTTGAAAGTCCATAGAGGTCCACATAATAATATAATATACAACATTTGATATAGTGCCCTATCTAGCTAACCTAAGCCACTCTAAAGCGCTTTACAGTACATAGATATACAATTCATACAAATAGCATATACATTAATCAATACAATTTTGAGGAATTCGCCGGAGCTGCCTTATCAGGCACTAACTACTAGTCCTATGCCGCCTGGCTAATATCTCCATATGTGTGTATGCCTGTGTGTGTGCTGGAGTTGTATTGTGTTCTGTTTGTAGCGGGGCCGTGCTTCCAACGGTATCATTTATAGTGCCACCTCACTTGAATGCAACAGCACAGATACCGCAACATTCACCCCAGACCATTTTATACTCCACCTGGGTTGTTGGAGTTGTGTTGGCAGGAGAAAAACACTTTCTCTGAATATTCCTTGCGTATGACAACTTCGGGGATCGAACCCCGGCCGCCTGCGTGGAAGGCCGGAGTGTTAACCACTCGACCAATCTGCCCATGCGTCACATACCTGTAACAAAGATGAGAGGAGAAATATAACATGCTGACTTACCTGTGAGCCACGCCTTTCTCATGTAAGTAATGGACAGCAGACACTAACTGACGAAGATACGGACGAGCACGTTCCTCCGGAAGAAGAAAATCCTTAAACGTTTTGATATAAGCTAGTAAATTCCCCCCGGAAGCACACTCTAACACAATGCAGTACAGCGTGGTAGCCTGCAACAAACAAGAAGAGAAAAACTTACAATCAAATTATTAATAAAAGTTGAAAAAAGTTTTATGTCAATTACAAAAATATAATGGCTGCATAGCAGGCCAAACGATACGTGTAGACAAACAAGTAAAAATCACAAACCGTTCTGGAGGTGTTTTGCATCCTTTACTTTTCATTATTACGAACATGTGACCTGGGCCAAACTTGTCCTTCAGAATTTGTTCAAATTGATACCAATTTCATAAAAACAAAACCCAGTCACTATTGTATGTTTTTAAATATTTGGAAATTTTCCAAAGCAGATTTTAGATTGAACATTACTAGCTCACAAATCATTCAACCAATAAACCGTTCTTAAACTGCTAAACTGAAATAGGATCAGCATTATATATAGGGACATAATATGCATATTTAAACAAGATTTAGACTATTTTGTTTGATTGACAAGATTAAATAATATCTTAATGGTTAAATCTCGATTGAATATCTGAAGAGAAAAGTAAAATGTAAATTTTATAATTGTAAAACACTGCGGTATGAAATGATAATTTCATTACTTTTAAATTTAACAATACATTCAGCTGTCCAAGTTGCTCAGCTACATACAAAAAGATCAATCCTGTTTTATCTTTTTCCTAATATTATCATTTCTTATCTATGATATTAAGCATAACAGAAATTGGGCTCATTCCTGTAAAATACAAAGTGAAAGTTAACATATTAAGCATTGTGTATATATTAAACATAAAAATACTGTTTTTCAGCACAGGAAGCACACTTAACCTCTATAACACTCTATACCTGTGGATTTGCATATTACAAAATTTTATTTAAATGAGATGAAAAAGAAGAAGACCAGGATGAAGTATCACAATTCTGTTTGTTTGTGCCTTGAACTTTTAGGTGGTGGTGTATATATATATAGTGACCTTCACATTAATTTGAGGGTTAAACAGGGAGTGAGAATGGTTTCATGTGGAAGAAGAAACAGTGCTAAAAAGCTATTAATTCTAAGATTTCATCTGCTTCCGGCCCATAAATTCAGCTGTAAAAAACTTCCTTCTGTATAATGATGATTATAAAAGGGACAGGATTAAGTTAGAAATTTGTCACTTAAACACATCAAATGAGGTGTGTCGGTGGGGGGTGCCCACTATTTAATTACCATACTGTAAGTAAAGCTAGGTGGTATTTTCACAATAGACTTAACACTGTAGCAGGTTGGAGACAGGGCTATCCACTTACTCCCCTCCATTTGATCTGCCATTAGATAGCCCTGTGTTCCTCTACACCATTTTCCCCTTCAGAGATTAGCTTGATAACTCCTGGCTATAAAGGATGTATGGGGGGTCTACATCATTACTTTTCTCTAAATTAACAGCTCCCTCAGGGACTTGGTATTCAAGGGATAAGAGGGAGTCAGTAAATGAACAGTGACCCCTAGGGGTTCCAACTTCTCTGATACACTTTTTTCTGTTGGTGTGAAATTGGTGAAGAATTTTGCCTAGAAGTTCTAGGTAGGTGTAATATTCCCTGAGAGTAGGATTAGATCTGGGCACAAAGGCATTACAGCTCAACAGTTTACTAACACTCCTCCCGAGGGAAGAGGCTAGAACACAGAATCCCCTCCTACTGGAGTCCCAGGGGAGAAGACTGTATACAGCCCTGTAATGTTATTATATAAACAGACTTTGATCAGTGATAACCGTGTGGAGTATTATACAGCCACTGTGTTGTTGTCAAATACATGTTGTTTATGTAAACTGATTTCCTCCTAATGCCTCACTGTGATCATCTCACACCAATCATCTCATCTCCAGATCAACAGTCTCACAATAACATAGCCAACATAACAACACTGAGATAACACGGGCCCCTACATACCACTGGACACTGTCCCCTGGTAAAGGGGTCTTATCTTGTTCAGAAATGTAATAAAGTCAATTAAAAAGCTTGAAATAAAAGGATTAACAAGAAATATACAACCTTTATACCTATCACCCCCTCCTACTGAGGTAAATCAACCACACAAAGATTTACAGATAACTCAATATTGTGTCCAGTTTCAGTTTTTAAGATTTTTTTATCAATATGGGGGGGAACATCTTTCCCGTGTATACCTGGTTTTAACTTCCAGAATGTCAAAAATTCAAAAAGTAAAAGTATATCAAGTACAAGTACCACTATATGCAGCTGAGTACAAGAGGGAAAGATCATTATTTGTATCAAATCAGCACATCAGCTTAGTTGTTTTAAGTTAAGTCGAGTGAAAGAGATAATTGTATAAGTGTAAGAGGAGACATAATTATTTGTCCGAGAAGTAGTTTAGATGTCCAGAGAAGTAATGGATAACCCGTACAGACAATAATTGTTAGGAAACAGGCGACTCTTCACCAATATTCCAGTGTTGCTGGTGTCCTGATTTTGTCGAGCGGATCAGATAATGGATAAGCACTGGCCACATTAACTAAATCAGCCAAAATGATTGGAATATTTTGAGATCCTGTGTTGTCAGTGCATCATTAACGTGACATTGATCGGTCCTGACCCATGCTGGAATGTTTGTTGAGGATGCGATCTGATCGTGTATGGATTCCTTTTTTTCCGCAACATCAAAGACCAACATGCCATGACACATGCACCTCCGAGTCTGTGGCATGTTTTCTTTACACCAAGTAGAATGTAACAATAATTGTCGGAAAGGATGCACCATTTTTTTATCTAAATATTTCACTACATGTGTATCAGGCAGTTCAGACTAAGTTTTAGTTGTCGGACTATTTCCTGTACATTATAGGAGGCATTTTGTGAACATTCATATTTTCAGTTATTTTCTCAGAAACAGGACGAAAAGGATTTTGTAGATCAAAGGTAAAACAGTCTATTTGGATTCCTAAGAATCAGACAAAATGACCTTGAAGTAAGGCCATCACTTGATTGTATAATAAGGCAAAATCCTACACAGGCACTGGTAGAGGTGAACGGTCGGTTGATTTTCGACATCTTGATGAACCTACATGTATATCATTAATGCCATTTTTTTTCAAGAGTGCAGCACTATCTGTGGGTCATCAATGGTGTGGAGAGGTATCCCAGTCGTTCGCCCCCAGTAAAGGAGCAGTCCTAAGGAGGGTATCACCATCTCTGCTTGTGTCAAGTTGTTAATCAGAGTTTATCATTAATTTGTGAGAGGATGTCCCACCCTGATGCTCAAGTCTTACTACTTCCTAGGCAGACACAACCCCCTGGGTACTTACACAAACCCCTGGATACTAGAAAATGACACCAGCCCCTGGGTGTTATACATACTTACACTAGGCACTTAGGACTAGATGCTTTCGCTCACCCCTGGGTTCTAGATACTTTAACTAGTCACTCAGTCAAGGTAGCAGGTACGTAATCTAGGCCCTTGGTACTAGATACTTATAATTTGGTTTAATTCCCTGAAATCAAACTAAAGGGGAAGGATTTTAAACATTTACCTTAAGTTTCTCTATTGTGCCCTGCCCCTCTGCCCTTCAGCAGGTGAGCGAAAAATTGTTTCCCTTTTCAGGATTATGTGTCTATAACGATATGCGTATCTAATTTAGTATGATAATGATATCCCAGGCACAGGACCGTTAGTAATTACACCACATCCTGATTAACTCATTGGTGTAATCAAAGGGAGAAGTTCAGCCAGTTATCAGGAATGTTAATTGAATTTGACAGTCATATTTATAACAACACATTAACATGTTTGAAGGGTCATAGGGTAAACTGATACAGCAGCTGAGGGAGGTCAAAGGTCACCACACAGACAGCAACTGATTAAAGTTCACGTGCCAAACAAAGTAAAGGTTGCCCTTTGTAATTGGTAGCCAATAAACACTAACCAGTGGCGGATCCAGAGACCTATCTGGGGGGGTTTCCAAATTTCCTGGGGGGGTTTCCATGTTGGAAAAAATTGAGGAAAATGGTGAAAATACATGATTTTTAAAGAAAATTCTCAGGGTGGGGGGGTTTCCTGAAGCCCAAAAAACCCCTCTGGATCCGCCACTGCTAACTTCATTAAAAGTCCACTCAGCTCATTGATAATTTCCATAACTTACATGCTAGGGAGCTACATTTCACTATTCCAAAGATAACTGTACAAAGTGACATGTACCATGTAGGTATATCTGCACTTACAAGTTCATCATGTTTAGGTCAATTTAACTCCTTTTTTTTTTGCACTGGGGAAAAATCAATTTAGTAAGAAAAGCATTAAATTGATATACATAAATGTAATCTGCTGATTAAGCAGTTCATGAAGCAGGCAGATTGCAAGCCACATCTGTCCACCTCAGGAAGCTGTGTGATCATGTGTATGCTCTATAACTGTCTCTGTGAAGCGATCAACAGGTAACAGACGAACATCCCACAGGTAATAACCCCACGGAGAAATTGGACCTTCCCTAATCAAGTACTCATATGTAAATTACCAAAATTAAAAGTTAATTTAAGGGGTAATTCAATTATTAACCCAACAATGAAGTTATCTACAACGCTCTGACCCTGGCTCCAAACCTCTCCTAAATAAGGGGCTGAACAATAGGGGGCTGACCCCTACCCGACACGCCCCAGACACCTCGTGGATTGTGGGTCCTAACTTACCCTACAAAACACTGTCAGGATGTAATATTTCAAAAAATAGAAATAAGTAGGGGTCGGGTTGACAACATAACTGCTTATTACTGTTGTTTGGAGGGGGTTGTATAGTAAGGCCAATGCGATTACATCTCCCGGCTTTATAGAAATAGATAAAAAGAGCTGTTTTAATACACTGTTAGTTCGACTAGACAAATACACAGGTGAGTCTGATGATATAGCGATAACTTGCTGTAAGGTAAAGGAAACCAATACACAGCCAGTGACAGGCCATCCAGATACACTAATACGTATGTCCTGAAATTACCTATATCAAATTGTCATTAAGCCATGCAAGGTAGGCCCAGGTGTCAAACAGGAAATGTCCATCTGT